ACCCCCTTGACTCCTGAGGGCCCCGCGGCTTCCGTATCTGCCGGAGTGGGGGGGGGGGATGGCGAAGGCGCGCTCCCTGGCCCTGGAAAATCCACCCGGAAACCTGGCCCGGCCCACTTTCTGTGCGGTTTAGTAGGTTGGGGTGGCCGGAGACCGGAGCCCTTGCCTGCCTGGCCTCCCGCGGCCCACCAGAGAGCATGACCCTGTGGCACCAGTGCAGGCCCTGGACGCGCTCAGGGGCTGCATGACACTGACTCGGGGTGCGCAGGGCTTGCGAGTGCGTGGCTGTTCCACCCTAACCCGCAGTTCACGGGACTTCCCAGGTGTGTCTCCCCACGATTTCCCTATCCTCCGGCCCCCGTGGCCTTCTTCCCACCGGGGCCCAGGGTCTGTCTGGCTCTCCAATTTCGGGTTCGTACCCCGGCCGGCGCCGTGTCCTGAGCCCAGGCCGGAGTGGGCCTGGAGGCGGGTGGCCGGTGCAGGGTGAGCGTGACCCGGGGGCGCAGAGGACGTGGGGTGGGCCGTGCCTGCAACTCGGCACTGACGGCGGGAAGGCGAACGGCGGGCCTTGGGCGCTCTGGCTTCTGACCCCTTCTCGAGGGCCGAGGGCCGAGGGGCATGTCGCGCAGCCTGGGCCCGAGGCCAGAGCCCTTGGAGGGCGCCGCGCCTGGACGCTCCCGCGCGCCCCCATCCCTCAGGGGGCCCGGCTTCCAGGAACACCCTGCCCGGGCGCCTCCACGCCGGAAGTGCAGTTTATTACTGTTTGGAAGGCCGGTAGGGAGGCCGGCTGGCTCCGGGCGTGGGCCGCGAGCGGGAAGGGAACTGACAAAGTACCCTGAGCGTTGGGCAGGGGCGGGCTCCGCGGCCGGCCTCACTCGCTGGGACCCCAACTTGGCCCAAGTTTCTGGAGGACTCTGGGACTGGCGCCAGCCGGCCCCCAGCGCTGAAGGCCTCCGCGGCGCAGCAGTGGAGACCCCGGGACGGGGGAGGTGGCAGGGGGACGCTCACTCCTGGAGCAGAGCGGCCCCTCGCCTTCCGACCGCGGGTGGGCAGTGGGTGCAGGCAGAGGGGCCTGGCGCGCGGGGGGCCGGGGCACTGGGCACTGCGCGGCCAGCAGGGAAGCCGGCCGGGCTGGGGGCCGACGCTGCCCGGTGGGTCGGCGGGTCGCCTGGCTCGGCCTCGGTGGTGCCGCGGGTCAGCGGCCAAGCGCCGCCTCTGCCCTGCGCTCTGTGCGCCGCTCCCCGAGCAGGGCTCCAGGGGCGGCGGGCGCTGTCTCTTTAAGGTCACTGCCTGCTCCGGCACGACGTGGGGAGGACAGCTGGGCACTGGCCATCTGACTGACTCCGGCGTGACATCTGGGAGCCCACTGGTGTGTGGCACGCGAAGCGCTTGATGCCGCTATTTAAATGCAAATGTGAGGGGGCTCATTGAAGCCTCTCCCCGTAAATCCGCACAAAAGGAATACTTCCCACCCTCGGAGGAGGAGGAGGCGGCGGCGGAGAGGCGGCGGCGGCGCAAGGGCCACCCGTGCAAATCGCGTTGAGCGCGGGCCCCGAGCGGTCGCCGTGGCGGCCCGCGGGGTTCCCCACGAAGGTCAGGCCCCGCCCGGCCCGGCCCCTGGGCGGCTGTCTGGCCCCTGGGAGCGCTCCGGGAGCGGAGGCTGCACCCGCGGCCCGGCCTGCGCAACTTCCAAAGTGTCAGCCTGTCTCTCCGCCCTCCCCACCCCTCCTCTCCCCACCCCCTTGCTTCCCTGCCGGGGCAGCACCGAGGGCCCCTAGTTCCCCCTGGAAAGGGAGAGAGGCGGGAGCAGGACTCTGGAGGGAGGAGGCCGGCGCAGGGACGCGCTCCCAGCATCTCTCCGGGCATCCAGGAATTGACCTGCGGTTCCCTTCCTCCTCCCCAGCCTGGGTGCTCCCTCGGTGCCTGGCTCCTCTCTGCTGCTCCCCCTTCTTGAAAGTGAAAATCTGGGGTCGGGTGAGGCGGTGGGGGGGGCGAGGGGATGCCCTCCCAGGCTGCTCCCCAGCAGGCCCGGGTGGAGCCCCGGCCCGGGTCGGGCAGTCCCTGTGCCCGCAGCTCGGAGCCAGCAGTGGAGTGACAAAAAAGATAAAGTTGGTGAATGATAAAGACCGTATTTTCCACGCTTTGGGTGCGGGACCAGATGATCTAGAAAATGAGCTGAAATGGATTCAGCCTCCGAGCCTGTTGTGAGAGCAGCTGATTCCCCCATTTCGGGCCAGATGGCTGCTGAACACAGATTTGCATTCATTTTCGCTTAATATCGTCCAAAATAGTGGGGCAGCTGCATTTGTTGTCAAAAAGGTTTAAAACCCCTTTTCTTTCTGGGGCAGGATCGTTACCTTATGTGATGGGCTTTATAGAACTTCTTTCCCCTCTTTAGTCAACAGTATCAGATTTAGAAGGATTTGTTTTTAAACCTTCTAATTTGGTAATCAGATTTAAATCGCCTTGGCGCGTGTAATCTGAATTAAAGATACTGTAAATGATTTTAAGCATGATACTTTCGTTAGCGCAAGGAAGGAGGCACCTCCAAGGCGGGCTGGGCATTTTAGGAAGTGTGCTACAAAAGGAGCATTGTTTCCTATTTTCAACTTCATCTTTTCCTGAAAAGGCACTTTGCATATTCTGACAATAACGCTTGCCTGGCCGCGCGCCCTGTGTGAGCCCCCGAAGCAGCTAAACACGCAGAGACAAAGCAATTTCTCAGCCCCACCCCTACACCTATGGCCAACTTTATATTGCGTCGTCCCTCCACGGAGAGAGTGTTCCTTTCTCCACTCGGTCTGATGTGGGTGGAAAGCTCTGGGCTTATTAGGAATACAGAAATTTTCTTTTAATTTATCGTGAATAGTTTCCATACACTTTGATTTAAGGTTATTAACATTCTATAGACAGTGGCATCTTTAATATGTGGCGATCGCTTCTAAAGACTAATCTCATTACCCTCAAATAGTCATAAAATATGATTTTATTATACTTACGTATTTAATTAGACGGCCGGCACCGTAATGGATTTTGAGATGGGACTGGCGCAACAGCTTTGATAATTCACTTATCTTTGGCAATAGTCATTAACCCCCAACACCAGCAAAATAGATTGCTTTCCAGCACATCTTTTTTCTCACCCCTTCCAAGAGGCGTGGGGGTCCCCAGACAACGCAAATCGGACTTCGATTTTTTACCCCCCTCCCCCGATTAATTAAAATATTAACGCAGGCACACTGTCGGTTCGTGGGAGAAGGGAGTGCTGCCCCAGACCGGGCGGGGAAAAGGGTGCCCCGCGACACACTTGCACCCTGAAGCCTGTTTTGGTTTTGGTTTAATCGAAAGGGCCTGATTTCTGTCGGCAGGGAGGTGCGGGGACAGCTCCTGCCGGTCCCCTGGGTCTCCGCTCCGGCTCCTGCAGGCGTCCTTCGGGCGGGCAGGGCGCCTGGGTGCCGAGTCCCCGCCGCGGGAGCTCGGCCGCGCGGCCCACGCGTTGCGCGCGCCCTGCTGCGCTCCCGGTTCCTCGAGGCCAGGTCGGGGAGCCGCGCGCTCAGCCGGGCCCGGCGGCACCGGGGGCAGGACCGCGCGCGCCTTCTGGCGAGGCTGGCGCCGGGGAGGTCGGGCCCCCGCGCGGGGCGCCCGCCGCGGAGGCCGTGCGCGCTCGCCGTGCGCCCGGGGAGCCCGGGGCCGCCTTTGTCGCTCGCCGCGTTTAAGCACAGGCCGGGCGTGGGGGTGGGGGGTGGGGGGCGGGGGGCGGGGCGGGGTGGGGGTGGGGTGCCCCGGTGGCCACGGGAGAGGCCGCCTCCGACGTGGGTCCGGAGCCCCGCAACCCGGCGGCCTCCGCGGGGGCAGAAAGCGCCGGCGCCGGGCGAGGCCCAGACGGGGGCAGCGCGGCCCCCCAGCCGCAGCCTGAGGTCTGCGCGCCCCGCCTTGGCGAGGGAGCCCTGCGCTCTCCACCGCCCCCCGTGCATGCGTCCGTGCATCCGTCCGTCCGTCCATCCATCCCCCGCAGCGGGTGGCTCGCCCCTCCAGCGCCCTCCCCGCGGCCTGCCTGCCTGCCTCTTCCCACTTCTTTCTCCCTTTGGGCCGCCCCGGGGCGTTTATTGCATGCGTTTGGGGCAACTTTGGGGGCGCCTGGGCACTTTGCCCCCTCTGCATCCCCGCCCCCCTCCCGCTCCCGCTCCCGCTCCCCCCATCCCCCCGCCCTCCCCCGGACAGTGTGTGGACCGCGTGGCTGGTTTGGGGAGGAGGCGGCCGCGCACGCACGGCCGTTTGTTTGGTGTCGGGGTTTATTTGGGGCGAGCGGGAAGCCCCCGGGCTGCGGGCGCGCGGGGAGCGGCGGCGGCGGCGGCGGGGCGGCTCGCGGGGCTCGCGGGGCTCGGGCCGGCTCGCGGCGCCGTCAGGCAGTCAGTCAGCGAGCGCGGCGGCGGCGGCGGCGGCGGCGAGGGGCGCGGCGAGGGGCGGCCGCTCCCATATATGGCGCAGGCGCCGCCCCCCGACGTCACCCTCTGACAGCGCGGCTCCCGGGGGCTCCGAGTTTTGGCTCCCGGGAAAGGGTCCATTCCTCGGGGAGAGAGGGCTGAGTTTTGTGCGCCTCCGTCCGCTGCGCGCGCCGCTCCAGGCCCCGCCGCGCCGCGCCGCGCCGCGCCGCGCCCCGCCGCGCCCCGCCTGCGCCCGGGCCCGCGCCCGCGCCGCGGCGCTCAGTGCCCCGCTTATTTGTCTTTGGAGCAGGCGGGCCGCGCCAGACGCGGGCGATCCCGCAGTGCCCTGCAGCCGCGGACGCCGCCCGGCTAGGATGACACCACGCTGAGCGCCTGCAAACAACAACAACAACAACACCCAGCGCCGCCGCGGCCGCCGCGTCCCGCTCGGGCTCCGGAGCCGCCGCCGCCGCCGCCGCCGCCGGGGCCGCCGGTGCATGTGGCGCCTGCCCGGGACGCGCTGACGCCGGGGCCGGCCGGACCGTGCCTGCGGGCGCCGAGCAGGGCGAGCGCGGCCAGGGCAGCCGCCTGCCGCCGAGCCCCGAGCCCCGAGCGCCGCTGCTCGCGGGAGCGCTTTCGGCCCGGAGCCGCGGCCGCCGCCAGCAGGGTTCATGTTTGGGATCCAGGAGAATATTCCGCGCGGGGGGACGACCATGAAGGAGGAGCCGCTGGGCAGCGGCATGAACCCGGTGCGCTCGTGGATGCACACGGCGGGGGTGGTGGACGCCAACACGGCGGCGCAGAGGTACGTACCGGCCGCCCGCGCGCCCCGGCCCCGGCCCCGGCCCCGCCGGCCCCGCCGCCCCCGCCGGTCCCCGCCGCTCACCGGGCCGCGCTCTCTTTCCTCCGCAGCGGCGTGGGGCTGGCGCGGGCGCACTTCGAGAAGCAGCCGCCTTCCAACCTCCGCAAGTCCAATTTCTTCCACTTCGTGCTGGCGCTCTACGACAGGCAGGGGCAGCCGGTGGAGATCGAAAGGACCGCTTTTGTGGACTTTGTGGAGAAAGAGAAAGTAAGTGCACACGCGCCGCCGCCGCCGCCGCCGCCGCCGCCGCCGCCAGCGCCCCGGAGGCGGCCGCGGTGCCCCGGGCGCGCCCGTCTCGGCGGCGGGGCCCCCTGCGCGCTCCCCCGCGCGCCCCCCTGCGCGCCCCGCCGCGCCCCCCGCCACGCGCGGCCGCGGGCCCGGCCAGGGCCGTGCAGCCTCCCCGCGCGCCCCCCACCCCGCGGACCCCGCGGACCCCCCGGACCCCGCGGACCCACTCGCGGCGAGGAGGACGCACGCGCCGCGGGCTTGCAGCGGGACTCGGACACCGCCGCCCGCCGCCCGCCGCACTAAATGCGATTATTTATCGTTGCTTCCAGGAGCCCAACAACGAGAAAACCAACAACGGCATCCACTATAAGCTCCAGTTGCTGTACAGCAACGGTAAGTGGCCGCCGCCCGCCCGCCCGCCCGGCCGGCCCCTGCCTGCCCGGGCTCCCTCTCCTTCCCCCCCCCCCGCCCCCGAGCCGGCCGAAGGACGTAAAGATTTTGAGATTAAAATGACACGGATGTAAACACGAAAGCTTCTCATAGAGGCATAGAGGGAAAAACAAAACATAAGCGATCGATAAGTCGATGGCACTTCACATGATTAAGCGGTGGGGCTCGGAGCAGAAAAGTAAAAAGGGGATCGATAGAGGCTTCAGCAGAGCATCACTTTTAAGTGACTTTTTTTTCAGTTTTGCAAATTGACGTTAATTACCTGAGATGGGGGTGGGGAGCTCCATAAACGGAGCAGAACTGAAGTTCCTCCTGCCCAACCTCCCTCCCCCCCACCCCGAGTTTTTTTTTGTTTTGTTTTGTTTTGTTTTGTTTTGTTTTTAAAATCCTCGAGAGGCGCGTTAGAAAGAGTTCAAACTCTCACTCGTGGGGTGCTTTCTTGTTTTCTAGAAATAAAGGACCACATGGGCCCCACTGGTGTGGCAACCCGGCTTGCCCTCAGTCTGGCAAATTCGTTGCACCTTTCAGTGCAAAGCCTGAGAGTCCTAAGAAAAGAAACCCAGAGAAGGAGAAGTGATTGGGGGGGGGGGGTTCTCTTTTCTTGCCTTTGGAAAAGGGCATGCCTCAAGTTTTGCTGCATCACCGCCGGCAGCAGTCCTGAGTTACCGACTTCCTGTGCCCCAGGTGCCCTCGCTAAAATCCTGATGAGAATTTGTCCCTGTTTTCTTTCTTTCTTTCTTTTTTTTTTTTTTTTTTTTTTGCAGGAGTCAGAACGGAGCAGGATCTGTATGTACGCCTCATAGATTCCATGACCAAACAGGTGAGAAAGTTTAAGCCTCTGCACTAGTTCGCACTGCTCAGCTGGGTTGTCTTGGGGTGGACATGAGGCCAATGACAAATGGATCTCGTGAAGTTGCTTTCCATTTAGTTTCCTTGACATACTAATGAGAATTCCATATTTATTGGAATAAATGATGCGATTGGTAAAACAGTTTATGTTGTCGTTAGACTAGGACATCTATGCTTTCATTAGATGGCGTGTGATTGGGATAAGATTCTGTCTTGATCAGCTGTGATAATTAATGTTGGACAGAAGAATTTTTCAGGAGGCTTCTCCTCTCGTATATTTCTTAAATGTTTCTCTTCTCTGCTTGGAATCATTTCATTGATTTTTTTTTACCCCCTATAACAAAGGCAACTAACTCCCTCCCAAAGCCCATTGAGTTGGGCTTGATTAGTTCATTTTTTTCCCCTTTCCAGTGTGATGGTCTAGTAACGCGAGACGTTGATTTGGATTTAAAAGTGAAATGTGTTGGGGTGAAAAGTCACCTTGTTCTCCGCTAGAGCGTCTTCACCTCTCAGCCTCCCCTCTCCATAATTCAAACTCCCAGCTCCAGAGGTCACCCACACCCGTCCATTGCTCTGGGAGCAGCTTCTGCCCCTATCCCACCCTCTGTCATACCTTGTAAATAACATAATTACAAGCAGTTCCTTATTAAATTATTTAACCTGTCTTGGTCAACTTTTCCGATGATAACTATTGGCTATCAGTAATGTGATTAAGTGCAGAAAAAGCGCTTCATTGCTTTTTGACGTTGTGCAGTCTCTGGCTGGTTTTGGGCAGGGTGGTGTGTCGTTGTGTAGTCCTGGTGGAGACTATTCCCCCCCCCCATTTTCTTAAAATAGTATTGGGGGAGGGGAAAGTTCGAGGCGAACGTTAAACCCTCTCCGCACAGACTGATTTAAAATGTACTTCCAAGGTGGGCTCCAGGCTTAGAAATGAAAGCAGCGCCTTCATTTTTGATGCTAACTTTAAGAATTGTGAGCCAAGTGAGAAGGAACTCCTTGGAGCTTCCTGCAGCCCAGCACGCTTGCCTGCTCCCCACTCTCTGCACAGCAATTAGTTTTTGGATTTTACTTCCCCTTTAAAAAGTTGGTCCTTCCCTGGGCAACAAGCGAGTGGGGTTTTAGTGTCTGCAGCGTAAAAGCGTGGTTTTCTCTCAGAGTAAAACAGATCTTACAGGTAAACGACCGTGTTTCTGACAAAGACGGAGGCAGCATGCCCTTCGGTAATTATTCCGCTCGGATCCAGAGAAGCCTCTGGATCTAGGGCTGCTGGTTGGCAGGGCGCTTTTATTTCCTTTGTATATAAGGGCTAAATGTTGTCGGAAACCGCAGTGGTCTAATTAAGAGGTTGATGTAGGCAGCGCTAAGTTTCTCTGTTGTTGCTTGGAGGAGGAGGAGGCTTCGTTTTAAGTGTACTCTTATTGTTCGTTTAGCCTTGTACCTTTGCAACATAAACAGTGCTGAAAATAAAGGCATTTAATCTCCTCTCACTGACGGGGATGTGGCGGGGGGGGGGGGGGGGGGAGGAAAGAAATAGCCCAGTAACTGATCAAAGAGTCAATGGCGCTGAACCGACAGTTTATGGATTTCTGTTTGTGCTACAAAATAAAAAATAAATCAAATATAAACACGGGGATCCATCGTCGGTCGAGCCGAGTTCCCAGAAGTGCTGGTGTCCGCAGGGGCCCAGCGCCCTGCAGCCCCAGGCGGCCCGCGGGCCTGCGGCGACACCCATCACTTCTTCGGTTCCCAGCAGATCGGGAGGGAGTCTGGGGCAGAGGGGCTCGCGGGGACCGGGGCCCTCTTCCCAGAGGGCAGCCCCGGGCTTTCTGGAGAAAGGGCTTTGTCCGCCTGCAAGTAGGGGAAAGTGTTAGAAGTGCCCGAGGAGATTGGAAGTCATTTCCAGATAATTTTCGGTGGGGGGAGGGACCTGGAGAGGGGACTCCCCTCCCCCTTCCGTGGAATTTTTCTGCCGGGAACTTGCGGCCCCCCCGCCCCCCACCCCTCTCCCAGTGACCTTTCCCCCCACCCCTTTTCTTCTTTCGCGCGGCCGGCGGTGGGGCTGGCGCAGGCGGCCGAGCGGGCGCCCCCGGCCCCCGGCCAGGCTTCCCGGCGGTGGAGCCGGGCTGAGCGCGGTCGTGAGCGCACCTAGGGCTTCGCACCATCTGGCGGAGCCTCTGCTCAAAACCCACCCGAGCGTGTGCGCAGACACTGCCTTTTTACCCGAGAAAAATCATTGTTAGCAGTTTCAAAATAAACACCAGATTGGCCATTAGCACTTTCTTTCCAAATATCATCCGGCGG